CCAGTGATGCCACCCCGCTAGGAGGAGGAAGGTGCAGAATTTTTATTCTGTAAACTGGCCTCACTTCCCATGTAGCGTGGGCAAGATTTAGAAATTTCTCTATAATCCTCAAAGAGAGGACTTAGGAGAGGCTGAGTTTAGGGTCTTGGGCTTGGCAGGGGACCAGCCCCCTATGATAAATGGCAAAGGGCCTCCTCAGCAAACACTCTGGGAGGACTCTTTGTTAAAGACTGTCTGCCACTACATGGCAGAGACACAAAACACATCAGCAAAAACTGAGATGAGTCAGAGACATGTGGGTATTATCTGAGAGTACTGACCACACAATGGGTCAGCAGGTCCTCAGTCAAACCTACTCTTAATGCCTGCAGAGCAAAGAACAGCCAGGCAGAGGAGAGACCTTGCTACAGAGAACCCCCAGTGTCAGAGGCAGGGCATGGAGCTAAGCATGCTCTTCTCCCAACACAGAGACAGAACAAGGGATGTGGCTTAGGGTTGTGTAGGTTGTGCTCACACCAATGTGCCTCCCAAGGTGTCAGTCTGGAGGAATGCAGGTTTTTTTGGCATTAGTCATCACAGAAGCATGGACTTTTTTAGTCTTTTTGTAATCCATTCTAAGTCTCTGATAGCTCCAGCCCTATTCCTCAGGCAGCAGGGCACCATCTTGAGAAGAGGAACAGTGGACTAGGAGAACAATCTAAGCCACTAAGCATTTTCCTAAAGAGACTGCATCTTTGAAAGATGCCTCTATAAACCATCATTACTGCGAATGGACTGAATGTTAAAATAAACAGAGCCTTACAACACAGAAGAGACTAAGATGTTGCCAAAGGACAATAAGTTGTTTTTGCAGTTCAGTAAAGTGGTAGTGTGTGGGCCAGGTCACCGTTTCTATAAATTATAGGGCAGCATTTATTTTTTGCATATCTGAGTGCAGCATGAAGAAATTTAAAACTCTGTCATGTGTATATGTGTGTTTGTGTGTGTGTATGTGTGTGTGTTTAAGATAAGGCTAGAAAATTGTAACTCTAAACATAATCACATTTTTTAATGCATACTGATATTATGGATGTTTGCATTTTCAACTTTTGACTCTCACATCCTCCAATATTTCTGTGATCAGCATGTATTAGCATTTTAAAATCAAAGATGTATAAATGTTATTTGTAAATAATTTGTATATATCTTCCAGTTGTTTTTGTCTAAACCCCAACTGTTTTACAAAATATGTGAAGTATTTCGCCAGTCAGTCTTTTTCCAGTTCAACTCTAAAATCCGATTTATATATTTTTTTTGCTTTTTTTTTTACTCATAAATCCTTTTTAACTTTGCTCTGTTTTAATCCCTTTATTTCAAAGATCACATCATATCTCCTTTTTTCTTTCAAAATTTCAAAATGGCCTTTGGCCAAATGCAATAAAATTTCGCCCTGACCTGACATAAAGAATGAAGTATGTATATGAAAGCACTTTGAAAACTTTAAAGGACTTTAAAAATGCATGGTGGTATTGGTGGTGGGAAGAGAAAGGGGTGGGAGAAGAGAGGGAGGAAACCATAAGAGGAGGAACTATGTTGTATTTTCTCGTAACATAAATTTTGAAGCCCTTCCTAAATGAATTTTCAAACAGAAGCAAATGGAGTCCTGTGTGATATTCTTGAATGCTTGCAATTTTATAAATTCAATCCCATGCCTTAGGCAACATGGTACACCCCTTCAGGTTGACATTTTTCTCTGTCATTTACTGCTGCTGAGTGCAATGGACCTATTTCACAATTGCCAACATTACCTCAGAGCTACTGGTCTTCCCAGTGTGAACCCTAAGGCCACCTCTTGTACCTGCATTGTTAAAAGCTGTCCTAGAAGTAGTTCCTCATTAGGAAAACGTATTGAAATCTGCAAACTGTCTCTAGAGTTTATATGGGTTTTTTGTTCCTTTGTGTATCTGTTTGAGGGATAGGATATTGAGATCCTGGAAGACAGAGAAAGTCTAAGACTACTCTATAAATTCAGATCTCCTTAGAAATCCTCCCTTCCTCACCAGGTTAAAAGCGATATAATATCTTGACAAATAGTGCATCTTCACTTTCCAGTCTCTTCAGTGTATGCCCAGGCCAGAAAAGTATGCTATAATGCTTAAAAGCATATACTCTGGAGACAGGCAGACTAGGTTCAAATCCCACCTCTACTACCTGCTAGTTCTATGATCTTGAAGAAAGTACTTGACCTCTCTTTGCCTTAAATTCCTCATTATAAAATGAGGATTATGAAATAATCTATTTCATAGTGTTCCTGACAGATTTCAACGTGTTAATATAAGTGAAGTGCATTCAACAGCATCTGGCACGTACCAAGTGCCCCATAAATGCTAATTATTATTATTAGGAAGGGAATCCTCAAGTGTATCCAAACCACCACAATGCTGTCCCCTGAAGTGAGCTAATACTGAGACGGCCTGGTAACTCCGAGAAAGAAATCCTTCTCCTAGCCCTTCACAGCTCAAGCGTGTATGGTGATGACCTATTTGGGCATGAACAGATGTGTACCGAGGCTTCTGGATTTACTTTGGCAGCAACAGGGTCAGGCTTGTACTGAGTTATCCACCTCTGTGGCTCAGTCAGCTCTGGGATGACTGCATGTGCCTGGTTGTGGTTATATAACACATCCATCTGGAGCAGGATTCAATGTACTGGTTTTAGGCCTTATAGAAAGGAAGCAAAGAAAATTTCTTACCATAGGAAATAATGTTGAGTTCACAGATTTACTATTTTCTTGCCAGGCTTTTTGAGTACTGATGGCTCTGAAACAGGCATTAAAATGATTGCCATTGGACCATACAGAAAAGCTAGAAAATGTGAGGCACAAAGGTGTGCTTTTACCTGCAGAGTCCTTTTCTTGCCTTCCTTTCTTTTTTTTTTTTTTTTTTTTTTGACCAAAAGAGAAATTACAACTAGGGAGGAGGAAGTAGAAGAATCCCTGGATATATGCTAACAATTCTTAAAAATAGAAGCATTATTTCTAGAGTGCCATTAGCATATCCTAGAAGAGCACCTTTTCTATGACTCCTAGCTTTTATGGGGTTTAGCTAGATCTTTAGCATTCTTAGATGAAGTAATATTCAATAAAATTTTTCATAAGCACATGAAATTTTTCTGGAAGGTATTTAAAATGGATCAGCCAACTTGATACTGCACCTGATAGCAGAGGTATGAATCCATCTCAACACACACTTTGAAAACATGCTGGAGTTAGTCTTAGGACTTGCTCCATTTTAATTCATTCATCAAACAAGTAGTTCTGGGAATTATTTTTCATGACCATTCTCTTCTCTTCCCACCTCTTTCTTCCTCTTTCTCATCTCCCATGATGTCAACTTATTTTACACACACACACACACACACACACACACACACACTTTAATAGGCCCATAGAAAATAAAGACATTTCTGATTTGTTTTGGAAAGGAGCAATCAGCTTGGATTTCCAGGGTATAGCTCAATCCTCCACCACACACACTTTCTCCTCCTCCAGGGACTGCATTTCATCTTCCATCCATCCAGCTAAGGAGAACCGAGGCTAATTTAGGAGACTCTTTCTGCCTGTACATATTCAGCCAGAGGGGTCACTGGTGATTGATGCAAGACACTACATCCTCCAAGAGCTTTCCAAGTCCCTGCTGGTCCAGAGAAGAGCGTCCAATAGTAACTCACCCTTTAGTGCCTGTGTATTTCTGTGCCTCCAGCTAGAAATAGTCAATAAGCACCAGAGGCAACTTGTGTTGCCTTCGATCACAAATAAATGCCTCACACCGCCACCTTAGAGTCCTTTCACAAACACTGTTTCTCCACAGATAGATTCCAAGTGCTAGCAGCTAATTACTACTGAGGTGCCTCAAAGGCTTGAAGGAGGAGGCAGGGAGAGAGAAAGGCTTCTCCAAAGACAAGAGTTATGTGATTCCTTCTAATAAAAATTGCTCCCTCTGAGCCAGACACTGGGATGAGGTTTAACCTACATTATCCCACTCATTCCTCACAGCTGTGGGATTCATGAAGCTCTAGCCCATTTGATAGATGGGAAGACAGAGGCTCATAGAGCTTATATAACTCCTACTTTCTGCTTCCCCATTCTCTGGCGCACCCCCTCAACTGCCCCTTATACACACAGAAGCTTGTCGACATGTGTTACAAAAGCAACTAGAAAATGTTCCCAGATGCCAGGCAAGTCAATTGACTTCTGGGCCTTAGCTTAGGTCCTTGGCATTCCTTCTCTTGCACTGAAAAGAGGCTTGCTGTGCTGATTACTCCACAGGCTGCCAGAAGCATGCCCTGTTATTTTCTGCCCATCATCTAGATGTTGTCAACAATTCCAAGGCCTTTCATTTTACTTTAAGTGTGGGTGTCACAAATTCTGGCAAGTTCCTTTTGTCTTGTTTAGAGACAAGGTCCCACTCTGTCACTCAGGCTGGAATGCAGTGGTGCAACCATCACTCATGGAAACCTCAAAGTCCTGGGCTCAAGCCATCCTCCCTTCTCAACCTCCTGAGGATCTGGGATTACAGGCACACCACCATGCTCAGCTATAATTTCCTTCTGGTATCACAAAGCATGGTGTGTTCACTCTTTATAAGGTACTGTGATAGGTTCTCTGTAGGTTCAAGGGAGTGGAGGATTACTTTAAAAACAGATGACACAGGGCCAGGTGCAGTGGCTCATGCCTGTAATCCCAGCACTTTGGGAGGCTGAGGCTGGCAGATCATGAGGTTAGGAGATCGAGACCATCCTGGCTAAGACGGTGAAACTTCATTTCTACTAAAAATATAAAAAATTAGCCTGGCATGGTATGGCACGTGTCTGTAGTCCCAGCTACTCTGGAGGCTGAGGCAGGAGAATCACATGAACCCGGAAGGTGGAGGTTGCAGTGAGCCAAGATGGCGACACTGCACTCCAGTCTGGATGACAAAGCAAGACTCCATCTCAAAAAAACAAAACAAAACAAAAACAGACAGCACAGTCACAGTCTTCTGCAATTATTTTTAATTATGCAACATTCCACAAAGAATCTGGTCCTGGTTTAAGTGCTAGGGATAAAGAGACAAACATGCCTGAGCTGTAGGTTTTGTCATTCCTTTACATGATTTCCTTTCCCTGAGTTACCTCTATTTCCTCATTCCTAAAGAGTCTCAATGTCTCCTTCACACACACACATTCTTAGGCAGATGTATTTGACAGGATAAAACACCTGCACTGACCAAAAGTAATTAGGCTACAAACTATAGAAAAGCCAATGTCTCCACAACCTGAGCTGGACATTGGGTGTGGTCTGATAGGTCAGAGCTCACAGTATCCCATGTCATCATGCTTTCCTCTTACAGGAACTGAACAAGCATGAGTTTTTTTTTTACCTTTTCTCAACCCCAGAGGAACTCACAACACATGAACATTAAATACTCAAGATAACTGCATATCTGTAAATTCTGTGGCATGAAAGACTCTGGACAACACTCTTTCCTGGTCTCTAACTGAGCTGTCTGCCAACTTCTGTGAAATGAAGGGCCAGATGTGCATGCGCTGTCTCCCCTTGCAAGGCAGCAGAAGACCCTCTGGATGTGACAAATCTAGGCATAAAAGTAGGGGTAAAGATCACCACGTGTTTTCGATTATGGAGAAAAATGACTAAATTCCTTGAAAATAATAACAATAATCATGATCGTATCTTTTATTTCTTTTCTTTTTTTTTTTGAGATGGGGTCTAGCTTTGTCACCGGGCTGGAGTGCAGTGGCGTGATCTCGGCTCACTGCAACCTCTGCCTCCCGGGTTCAAGCGATTCTCCTGCATCAGTCTGCCAAGTAGCTGGGATTACAGATGCCCGCCACCATGCCCAGCTAATTTTTCTATTCTTAGTAGATACTGGGTTTCACCATGTTGGCCAAGATGGTCTCAATCTCTTGACCTCGTGATCCACCTTCCTTGGCCTCCCAAAGTGCTGGGATTACAGGCGTGAACCACTGCGCCCAGCCATATCTTTTATTTCTATAGTACTTTTCCATTTCTCAAGCATTTTCACATCTGTGCTTTCATTGGCTCTTCACACTAAACTTAACCTTGGTGTAAACACTGTGATATTTTTTCTCAATGATAACACCTCTGCATTTTATTTGATCACCATGATTATAAAGGAAAATATTTTTATCTCCAGTATATTAAGGAAGAAACTGAGGGTTAAAGAGAGTGATTTTCTCAGGTTATAAAACAGTAAAAACCCAGGAGATCCTTTGCAAATTCCAGTGTTTGTTCCTCCCTAGTAATCTTCATTTGGTACACGGGGAAACCAAAGCCTTTCTCTGGAGGATCTCAGAGGAAGTAGAGCACATGTGCCTAATAAGCCACATGTCCCACCTGGATAGGAGTCACAGTGTAAGGTGTGTGGCCATGGCCAATGAAACCTTGCCAAGCCTTTGTATGGACTGTAAATCCAGTTCATTTCCAAAAGCTAGGTTCCTAGAAAAGGGGTTTCTGTTGACACCTTCCCTGCATGTTTTGTTATGCTTGTTTGTGTTGGCCTAGAGAGCCAGCAGCCAGGGACAGCGGATGACTTTGAGCCAAGGGGCGGTCTGTTCACACCCTGGGGACGGGAGTGTTCCACCAAGTTAGCTGCTGCTTGAAAGGACAGCTGCCGTGCAGTCTTGCTCACTCCCCGTTTTGTTATCCCTGAGATAATAAATAAAGGCTCATTCTGTTGTGTCCAAAAGACCCTTTTCAGGAGACTTGCTCTTGCTGGAAGTCTCCTGAGTCCCCTTACCTGATTACAGTCAGATGCTGGGCATTTCAAATTAAATTAGAACAAATAACGAAAATGAAAGGAAAGTGGGAAGGAGGAGGAAGAAACCAGCAAAAATGGTATTCATTTAAAGTAGCCAATGAGAAAAATGGAGCCTCAGAAACTCAACTATACTGGCAGAGATCAATGTGTGTCATCTAGTCTTAGGCTAAAAAGAGCCATAAGTGAGAATTTGTAGGGATGACAGTTCTAGGTCAGTTCTGTTTAACATATTCTGCTGCAGATATGGCCAGGTTAAGAAGGAAAATGTTCTAAATCTAGATCTGAATCCTATGGCTCTTGGACCATGATTCTATCTCCAGTTGGTTAAAGGATGGCACATGCGGGATATGAGCTCTAGCTCTTGGAAGGTATGGAAAGTACGTGTCCCATTGCACCACTTTTTTTTTTTTCTCTACTAAATCCTGCCAATGTTGAAGGGTCATTTGAGCTCAAAATTCTCCCAGAGATGTGCTTAGAGACCCACTGCTGTGTGGATGAATGAAAGAGTAGGAAGTAAATTCTTGTAATACCTGGTCTTGATATGGTTCAATGTCAGTAAGATAGTTTAAAATTAAATGAAATGATCATGGACCAAGATTACTGTGTGTCCACTCCCAGGAGTGACTTCAAACAGAATTCTTATTGGTCAGTTAAAAACAACTTGCAATTGACCAGCCTAATAATGTCCCCAGATCATTTCAGCCTCCTTGAGATCCCTTTACCTTGGTTTTGCTTTCATCACATCTACCTGATACTTTGCTACCCCTTATTTCAGTGACACTAAATATTGCTGGATCCTAGAATAGCATTAAGATATTTGATAGACAATCTAACTTTGTCATCCAGATGCTGAAAAAATATTTACATTTGATATGCTTTTGCAATCCTATTAGCCAAAGCAATATATTGTACAATAAAATATATTGTCTTATTACAGTACTCTTACTGTGAAGATACAATGAGCACACAGAAACATAATTCATATTATATCATCTGTCAGTAAAGGAGGGCTCTTCAACAAACATGAACTCAATTTAGATAAAATAAGCTAATAGGTGCTAGAGGGTTAACTCCTCTTGTGACAAAAACTCATCACATCACGTATTAAAGGCCAATATTAACAAGGGAAGAGACTCAAGAGAGCATAAGGGATCTTTATCTTTTGAGACATTCCTGCATATAGCATTAAAAATATAATTTGGTCTCACGGCTGTCCCCTAATATCACTCCTCATATTAGTATCTATGGTCCAGGCACAAGTAAAACTTTCAGGTCTTAAAATTAGCTAGTGCTGCTGGGTATTTCCTAAAAAATGTGACAACTTTTATATGAAAAATAAACAATAAGCATTCAGGAGTGATCAGTGAAAATGTCTCTTAAGCCCATTATTTTTAGCTGAGCACTGTTATGACTGTTTCCATGGCTAAACCATGAATATGTTTTCTGCACAAGCACGGTCAGCTAGTGGCCTTAATTAGCTTTCAAATGGAGAATGCTGCGGTTTACCACTTATTAAATATCCACCACACCAAGTTACAAATTTTGCCCTTCCACACCTCACTTAGTTGAGACACCTCAAGGAACCCACAATGCTGAATAACTGGTGATTTAAAAATATGTATCACGTGTGATGATCAAACTGAACACACAGGCTGTGAGGGGAGTTCACTAAAACCTGGCCAGATTCCATTTCCAAGTGGAATGATGCAATTTGTAAACTGAGGCAACAAGATAAATCACCCAGAAAGAGATGAAGTGTATGCTGTAGCTAAAAGCTAACACCCTGTCCCTATTCATAGGAATTCAACATGTATTTATTAAGTGCTTGCATTGCATTCTGGATAGTAAGTCTTCCTCTAGATTCCTCATGTCTAGGAATTTGCAGGAGATGATTAAGTGGAATACAGGATCTGGTGAAGAAGAAGACTGTCTCAGTATTTAAGATCTTTAAACAGTATGCCCCCTAGAGAAGGAAGAAAGTATAAAATTACTCAACAAGCTAATCTACCCCTAATACAACATACAAGTAGACTAACCTAAACGAGTTCATTTCACCAAGCATTTTATTCATGAGGGAGATGATGCAGTTTGAGATTCAATTGAGATAGAATTAGTTTTTCTGATTAGCTAGGTTGAGTGGTTAAGGTATGGTAATAATGATATCATTATTTCTTCTCTCCTCGTTCTCATACAACATTCAGAGACACATTCTCTCTCTCTCTCTCTCTCTTTTTGCTCTCTCTCTCTTACACACACACACACACACACACACACACACACACACACACACACACTCACATATCTGTTTGGATTTGGTTTCCGAATCTTCAAGTAGTGTTGTCTGTGTATCAACTTGTATACTCCCAGGGGGGAAAAAAAAGTGAATTCACCTCTTGTTGAAATTCCACTGTGTATAAAACGGTCTTGAAATTTGAAGGAAGAAAAAAAAATCCTCCTACAAAGGGAACATGTGAAAAGGCCAAGGGAGAGCATAACTGAAAAAATATATAAAAATGCAAATTTTCCTAAACTTCAGCTTTGGATGGACCGAAGCATAAGTGAGAACTTCAACAAAGCAATAGAAAAAGATGACAGCTCAGAGTTTCAGAAATTTAAGACAGCAGCAGGATTAGACACTTTGGGTTGTCTTCGCACACATTTCTTGTGGGAGTTAATTCCATTTGACATGCAAGACCAAAGCAAGATTACAGAGGCATAGCCCCATGGCGAGGTGTATGCTGTAGCTAAAAGCTGGGATTTGAATAATTGTGCAGGCTTACTCCAAGAATCAGGCGAGAACAGAATGAATGGATTATTACAAGGAACTTTGTACATTTTTAACTGCTGGACTTAATAAAATACCCTCTATGTGAGAATAGTGTTATGGTCGTCTGCACTTACTCTAGCTGAAGTTTGTGGTAGGATCTATCAAAAATGAGAAAAAACAGAAGCTGTTTTTTAAAAAAGAAAGAAAGGAAAGAAGAAATTTGAAATGAATGACTGGGCTGGGTCATGCCCGTATGATTTATAGAGGAACAAAAAATTTGGAGAACTTAAGATCAACATATTCGAGCCCCTACCCCGCCAAAGTTACAGGGAATTCATTTCCTGTGCAAAGAAGTTTGAGGAAAGTGGAGAGGAGAGTTCAGGGAAAGTGGGCCACAAAAAGGTGGATTTTTATTTCACCATTTCAGCTCGTTAAGGAGGTCATTTGTTACTGGAAAAAGTTGCTAACCCACACATCATTATATATATATGTATAAGTGTGACCTCTTTCCTTGGAAGCCATGGAAGCACTTGTCTGTGAAAGGCAGAAAGAGTAACAGTTCCAAAGACTTTTCATGGCTTAATTAACTGTCCAGTGAGAATTATTAAAATTCTTTATGTAATTCTTATTTAGTGCTCGTTAAAGTGAAAGATACAAATGCTGGACAATACAGGGTTCAGAGAAGCTTCAAGAAAGGAAAGTTAGTCTCGCAATAGCTTAGAATTATGAAAAGCTGCCATTAACGGTAGCCAGATAGACCTTTCATTTTAAAAGTCACTGATTCAGATCTGAAATGATTAGATTTGATTTTCTCCCTTAATCTCATCTTCATGTCCTCCTTTCCTGAAAGCCCATTTCTCCAGTTCTCCTTCAGCCCTAACCAGCCTAGTTGGGAGGGAAGTCCATCCAGAAGAGGCGGAAACTGCTCTGGGCCATGGCACTGGGGCAGTGCGCCCTCTGCTGGGAAGCCAACCTGTAGTCCAGCTTGGGAAAATCCCCCCAGAGGGCCTGCACCCAGGAAAGCAAA